TTAGTCTTCACGTGGAGACAGGGCAAGCCTTCAGATAAAAGCTGCTTCTGCTACTGACTGCTACCTTCCTTGTGCAAGGCAGTGGGGATTTTTTTTTCTTTCATGATATGAATATGGCTTCCCAAGGTAGGGCATTTCTGTTTATTTCATCAGAAAGACATTTAGTGGGTTGGAAATGTCTTAAGGACCTACTGAAGTGTCTTGCACTGAAATTCTTGGAGCAGTTAAAAATCTCCCCAGCTCAGTTCTGTGTGTGTCACTTTAAATGTGCTTTTGACTTAATGTATTCTACATCGAATATCAGTTCCTTCAAGTTCTAGAAGAACGCGGAGTTGTCTGTCAGCTGCAATTTATAGAACAGCAGGGAGCTAGGAGTGAAGTTCCCTTTTTAAAATTTTGCCTTGCCTTGCTGAGATGATAAATTTCAAGGGAAAAAACCTGTGCTCTGAAATGGTAGCCCAGATCGACCCCCCTCCCCCAGCCCTCTCATAAGGGATATGGCTTAAACTTTGAAAAGTCTGGTTGATAGGAAAAACTCCCACAGGTAGGTCACACAGCAAGAGATGGACCTTCCTTGAGGCAGCCACTCATTATGAAGGGTACTCTTAAATCCATCTCTTGCAAACAGGTTTCTAAGGTGCTTTCTGGGAGCAGAACTCCATTTGGAAAGATAGAGGGACCCCATCCTGGTCTCTGGGATCTGCCCACCTAGAGCAGGGAGACTCAGGTGTGTTCACCCCCGTTCTGACCACCCTGAGGTGATTCTGGCCTAAGCTGATCTCTTCCAGTTGACATTGATTGGAAAGTTTTTGTAGATCACACACACACACACACACACACACACACACACCACACACACACACACACAACCAGAAAACTAGCACGGCTATTTTCTCTGCTGCCTCTAGCGATTTAGAACAAAAACCCATTCCCATTTATTTGTATATTTATTTATTTACTAGTCTTTTCTGGCATGAAAACCATTCTTTATTTGTAAAAACCAAGTATCTACCTTATCTTTGTTTTAACTAAGCCAAAAGGATTGTTTAAGTCAATTAAAATACAATTAAATGAAAGTTTCATCAGTAAAATCTGCATCTTCTCACTCACTCTTCCCCTGGAAGTGGCTTGATAGAAACACAGGCAAAGCGTTGTCTCTGTGTGTTATTTTAACTTGGTATGCCTGAGTTCACAACAAAAATTTATATCTTAAAAGAGATTTTCATGTATAAGACTGCATAGAAGTTATCAACTTGCCTAAAGTAAACTTGCACTAACTTTATATCTTGGCGCATTTAGATTTACATTTTACTTTAAATTTCAAGAAAACCCCTTCTTTTCCATCATCCTCAGGTACACATGGCATTTTTGGAGACTGTTCATTGTCGAGTAACCTAGAGTTTGATTTTTATAAGCATCCTTGTGCCACTAAAAATTCTTAGAAAACCATGTGATAAGGCTGCTGGCTCAAGATCAGAAGTGAATTCATACACATTAATAGACACACATTTGGTAAAGAACCTTAAGGACCCTATTAAAGAATTACCCAGTGGGCTTCTTTGTGAGTTGTATTAGATGGTTGAGTGACATGATGTGACAAGATATACTATGATAGCCTTTCAACCAGTGGCGGATGCTTCCAGACAGTCTCCTGTAGAACATTGGACATGGATTTTTTCCCAGAGAGCGCAGACTTTGCTGAATCCCCTCCACCCCCAGGTCACTGAAGACCTTCCCCAACTGGCTGCCCTTGAAAACAGTTTGAAATTGTTTGACTACATTGGCCCTACAGAGACCTCTTCTTTCCTGGCAGATCATTTACTGAAGGAGCTCACACTTGCCCTTCTGACAATGGAGAACAGAGTCTTCCTCTTTTGTTTGAAATAAATAAATTATGTGGCCTGTGACTAAAGTTTTTAAAGAGGGAGAAATCCTGTTGGCAGAAGAGTAACTACCCAGAAAATACCCACAGGCTAGGACATCTCAAGGTACAACTCTACCTTGCGATGGTGGAAGCATGGTCCAAAATTCCAGTATGGATTTGGACATGGACACCCAGGAATGCTCCTACCTAATACCTCTAGCTGTTGCAGTGTGATTACAAAGAGCCTGTGGGTTTGCAGAAGTTCCTTCCTGCTGATGGTTGTCAGTGGGTCCTTTGGACCCCTCTTGACTCCTTTGCAGGCTGCTTTTGTCCTGTTGAGATGTGCCCATGAGGTATGTCATCAGTCTTTAGAGAATCCCTCCTGGACCTGCAGGAGCACAGTCCTCCTGAAGGTGCTGTGCTCAGGGGAGCACAGGCCAAGTGGGGCTAGTGGCAACCACCAGCCCCTGCTTTCCTTTCCCACCACTTCCTTTGTTGCCTTAAAAATGAAAACTCAATTCTGTGTTCTTGAACTTTTCTTTCCCTCTATGATGCGTCATTTACTTTATCCTGTACAAAGTCACGTGTGGCCCAAAGCCCCTTGCACCTTGTTGCAGGAGTGAGATGCAGCTGCTGATCTGGAGCAGCCTCAGGCTTTGTTGTTGTTTAGGTGGAGGAATGTTCTCTGTCCAAAAAGTGTTGCAAAATCCTCCAAGCTTAATGATAACTTTTGAGATAAAACTCACCCTACTTTAGGGCAAGCAAGTAGCCACAGAGAGCAGGTTCCAAACAATGTCTGTGTGTCCCTTTTGGCTGGGTCATTTCACTTTTCTGTTCATTTAGCTTTGTCTACATGTCCAAAGGGTAGCTGGACAATATCTTTTGATCCTCAGGACAAAATTCACTCTGCACTTAACATGGTATCAGGTACCAATTCCCAATGATTTGGATTGCTGCTTAGTGATTTGACTTCTCTCCTCCATTAGACAATGCCTTCCAATGGCTAGAACTTGGACATTGCAGTAGACCCAAATGAACAGTTCTGTGACCTAAGGGAAGTCACATAACCTCTCTGAATTCCCATCTGTTTCATTCACAAAAATGGAGATAATCATGGTTTTCCTCTAATGAGCTGGATGTAAGATAGTTCATAGAAAGATGATGGCACCAGACTTGGGAAAAATAATTCGATAGGTAGGTAGGTAGGTAGATAGAGAGAGAGAGAGAGAGAGAGAGAGAGAGAGAGAGAGAGAGAGAGAGAGAGACAGACAGAGACAGATAGATAGATAGATAGATAGATAGATAGATAGATAGATAGATAGATAGATAAACAACAAGAGAAAGAAAGAGCATTCAGCACTAATGTTTTATGGTGACATTTTAATATCCTATTATCCCTTTTTCTAGGGAGTGGCTCCAGCCAAATTATTTTGAGGTAGATGAATAATCAACATAATGTGGAACTTTAAATAAGGGGCTTTGTTTCTTGGAAAAAAAATAGAATGCCATTGCTGCCCTGTTTCCTTCTTCTTCTTCTTCTTCTTCTTCTTCTTCTTCTTCTTCTTCTTCTTCTTCTTCTTCTTCTTCTTCTTCTTCTTCCATTTTTTACATCCAATCATCCCTTTCATTTGATTAAGAACTAGGAGGCTGATACTCAGATTAGAGACAGCTAAGAATCTTGAAATCACTTAGCAAGTTCAGCTGATTCAACAAGGGATGTTAAATTAACAGCTATTTCAGCCTCCAAAAAGTGTGCATTACCTACTCTGTATTTTCAGAACCCCAGGCTTGCTGTGATAATTTGTAGAGTTCTTTTCCTGTAATTTACTTTATTTAAAAGAGATTTTCAATTTCCCGCCCTCAAGAAGAGGTTGCAACTTGTCCTCTGAAGGAGCAAAGGTGTTGTGTGTCCTGACCCTCCCTAGGCAGTTAGTTTCTTTAAATTCTTGACTTCTGTGTATGACTTCAGTGAACAGTCACAGTAGATACCTTGGTATGAAGGATGGGATGGGGTCTTCCAAGGATTAGGCTAATAGAAATGCGGTTGGAAGCCTGGAGAGGTCTTTTCCTTGTCATTAACATTGGGTAGTGCATTGGTCTCCTTTGTGAAGGTCACTTATCTTGTGGATACTTCTTACCTCCCGAGTGACAGGCCACAGGAAGTGGCCGTTTCTATGCTTCCAGTTGGAAGATGGCAATCTTGGCTTTATTTCTTAGGCAGATAGTATTCTGTGTTACTTCAATGACCTGTCTCCCACATTTATCTTGGGGACTGCCTCTTTGTTCTTTCCCCCTTGTCATATATGTGTGTCTGTGTGCATGCATGTGTACTTATGATTGTCATCTTTTCCTTCTTTGTGAATTGGGATTCAGGGATTTTGCTCCCATTTTTTCCCCTGTTGTTAACTGATGCAGCTGTTTGTGGTAATTGACCTTTATATTCTGTCTTTAAAGGAAGTAATATGTACCTCGCTGTGCCAATGTCAGGAGAAGCCAGTGTGACTTGAGTTTGGGAGATGTTGCTACTGTTGTCCTTTTTCTATTGATGAAGTGCCTTGGGCAGAAACATTAGGGAGCCCAAGAATGGCAATGAAAATGGCTTTTTACAAAAGAAGCTAAATACAGTCCTTCAGACTTCCTAGGAATGTCCCGGCCCTAAAGTACCACTAGCTGATAGTAGAGTTCAGAACATAAACGGGTCCCCAAAGGTATCATCAAGAACTTTTTGTCAAGCAGGTGCAAGAGGACTGTGAATGATAGCCAGCTGGCCTAGTATTCTTCATGTCCAAGAAGAAGAGCTTTAAAAAACTCCCCTGTTTGAGTCCCTGGCTGGCTGATGGCAGCCTGAATCCTTACTCATTGGCCAATACTAAGGCCCCTTCTATAAAAGGTGCTTTACAAATCTACTCCTTTGTCAATGTGCTGAAGTGCGGTCCATCAGCTTGCAGCATCTCTTCACTAAGAACGTAATGGAAATGCCAGCGTGCAGGCCCCTTCCCAGAACAACTGATGTGCAGGCCAGAGTCTAGGATCTGCTGTGCAAACACAGGGGTCATTTTGAATGAGGAGGAGATGGAGATGAGAGGACAGGCAGTTAGAAGCCATTTCTCCTGAAATTCCTCATCGCTAATTACTACAGTGTCTTAGTGCCACCCATACCTTTGTCTCTCGAGTTCGGAGCAAAATGGCAGGGTGTGCTTAGCAAAATGTCATCATTGATGTTGAGTTTCAGAGTCTTTAATTAGGAGACTAAAATCTGTATATTGAGATTTGTAAATCATCTAAATTGTAGAGTAATGTTTTCAAATGCCGCTTAAGGAATTGACATTAAAGCTCGTTTTCTTAGTTAAGAAATGCAATAATTTCCTCAACCCCTCAGTCATTAGCCCTCTACTAACTATAGTGCTTAGACTTTTTTTTTGCCCCCCTTAAAGTCTGTCTGTGAATTCCAGAGAAGTGTTTCACTATTTCCTCCATTATTATAGCTACCTAGGAGCTATGTTCACATATTGGATTAAACGCATAGCAGTCACAAAGTTAATGTGATCATATAGAAAAAGGAGACTCCATTTTCACTTCAGAGATGACATATTTTTATTTCTTTTATAGTGTTGAGCATTAAACCCAGGGCCAAGGAAAGGAGGCAGACACTGTACCTCTAGCCCTGACATTTTTACTTTCTGGTTGCAAACTTTTATGTAGTTTAACTCAAACTGTGCATTGAGGTTTTAAACTTCTCATAAGGAAGTAAATTACCATTGGCTCTCTTACTGAATGCTTTCCTTTTTCTCTCCACTTTGATCAAACTAGAAGCCATTGAAGAGCTACCAGAAATGAGTGGTAAAACGGCCCGGCGCTTCTTCTTCAACTTGACTTCTGTCCCCACTGAAGAGTTTCATTACCTCTGCAGAACTGCAGATTTTTCGGGAACAGATACAGGAAACTTGGGAAACAGTAGTTTCCAGCACCGAATTAATATTTATGAAATTATAAAGCCGGCAGCAGCCAGCTTGAAATTTCCTGTGACCAGACTATTGGACACCAGGTTAGTGAATCAGAACACAAGTCAGTGGGAAAGCTTCGATGTCACCCCGGCTGTGATGCGGTGGACTGCACAGGGACACACCAACCATGGCTTTGTGGTGGAAGTGGCCCATTTAGAGGAGAAACCAGGCGTCTCCAAGAGACATGTGAGGATTAGCAGGTCTTTGCACCCAGATGAGCACAGCTGGTCACAGATAAGGCCGTTGCTAGTGACTTTTGGCCACGATGGAAAAGGACATCCACTCCACAGAAGAGAAAAGCGTCAAGCCAAACACAAACAGCGGAAACGCCTCAAGTCCAGCTGCAAGAGACACCCTTTGTATGTGGACTTCAGCGATGTGGGCTGGAATGACTGGATTGTGGCTCCTCCGGGCTACCATGCCTTTTACTGCCACGGGGAATGCCCTTTTCCCCTGGCCGATCACCTGAACTCCACTAACCATGCCATAGTGCAGACGCTGGTGAACTCTGTGAATTCCAAGATCCCTAAGGCGTGCTGTGTTCCCACAGAGCTCAGCGCAATCTCCATGTTGTACCTAGATGAGAACGAGAAGGTCGTACTCAAAAACTATCAGGACATGGTTGTGGAAGGTTGCGGGTGTCGTTAGCACAGCAAAAATAAATAAATAAATAAATAAATATATATATTTTAGAAAAAAAACCCTACTCTCCCCACCCCCCAAAACCAGCTGACACTTTAATATTTCCCAATGAAGACTTTATTTATGGAATGGAACGGAAAAAAAAACACAGCTATTTTGAAAATATATTTATATCTACGAAAAGAAGTTGGGAAAACAAATATTTTAATCAGAGAATTATTCCTTAAAGATTTAAAATGTATTTAGTTGTACATTTTATATGGGTTTAACTCCAGCACATGAAGTATAATGGTCAGAGTTATTTTGTATTTATTTACTATTATAACCACTTTTTAGGAAAAAAAATAGTTAATTTGTATTTATATGTAATCGAAAGAGATATCGGGTTTGTATATAATTTTCCAAAAAAAAAAAAAAAAAGGCCTGTAGCTGTTTTTCAGTTGTGTGTATTTAAGATGCGAAGTCTACATGGATGGTTCCTGGGCAAAGCGCGCGCACGTTGGCTTTTGTTTCCTGCAGCACTACTGTTAAGTTCACAAGTTCAAGTCCAAAAAAAAAAAAAAAAAGTGGATAATCCACTCTGCTGACTTTCAAGATTATTATATTATTCAATTCTCAGGAATGTTGCAGAGTGGTTGTCCAGTCCGTGAGAACTTTCCTTCTTATTAGGGGGAATATTTGGATAAGAAACCAGACATTACTGATCTGATAGAAAAAGCTCTCCTTGTAGAAAGAATAAAGCAGGACCAGTGGAAATAATTAGGAAAACTGTGACCATGTCGGGAAATGATAATGGCGTCTTGTTCTTTCCTAAACCTATGATCCCTTCCAGGGGGCTGATCTGGCCAAAGTACGAAATAAAATATAATATTTCTTCTTTATTAACATCGTGGTCATATATATGTACAACTGATTATCTTGTGGCCCTCCTAAAGAAGTGGCAATTAATTTGTATTTTGTGTTTACCCCCCTCCTCATCAAGCTCTTTCTTTATTCTCCAAAGCATCCAATTTTCTACATTTGCCCAACACTTAGCAACATTGAACACGTCATGTTTTCTTCCTACAACCTGTTCTCTGACCTATCAGCTTACTTTTCTTTCCAGGGATGTGTGTTTGAACACATTTCTTCAAATGTTAAACCTATTTCTGATAATAAATATCAAAAACTCTGGCATTTCACCCTATAAAATCCAACCCGTGAGAGCAAACAGTATATTTCAGTGTTCATTTTGTCTACCAGTGTTTGCACTTTCATTTCTGAAGTGACTGATTTAAAGGGGGGTGGGAGGATGACGGAAATGGTTGGAGAATTCCAATCAAGCCCCATTTGCACCAAAGGACTTACCGATGAGTTAGTGGTTTACAGAGGAGCAGGAAAACACGTGAGAGAAAGCCAATCCCTAAAACAAAGCAAAGCTTTCAGGTCCCCAGGTAAAGTCCCAGAGATGATCTCCCATGCAACGGAGGCCACAGTGCCAAGAAATTAGAAAGAGTGTCTGATCAGCTTCTGCAAAGTGAAGTCAAATGAAGCACTGGTGAATGAACCCTCAGCAGGGGCAGAGCTTCAGCACTCAGGTTGGAGGTGAAACCTAGGTAGGGCTTTGTGGCTACGTTTGCAGACTGGGGAATCCACAGTGCTAGTTTCCTGGCAGTGTTTCCGGTCAGTTTCCAGAATGTGTGTCCTCCTGTAGTCCATCATCACGGCCGAAGCCTAGTTCTTACCTCCTTTCCCATCCCCTGCCTTAGAACGGAATCAGAAAGCAGTGTGCTTACAATGGGAAGGGCTGTTTTGTCAAATACTTCTCAGGTATTAACATGGGATGACCTTGAGCACACCTCCCATTGGAGGCTTTGAGCTTCTGGAGATCTCATTTGGAATGAATATTCTGGTTAGCTTTTGCAAGCATTCTTCCTCATCCCTTTTTGCTGTTGCTTTTGCGAAGGCAGAAACCATCAGACCCAAGTATGGCTAGCCAAGTCCTCCTTGTCTTTCAGTCATTCTTCGCTGTTTCTTGCCATGGGTACTGGTAACAAACTACAGCCTTAACATCTTCAAAAGAATGAGCCATGTTTTTCCGTGTGTCTCCAAATTCTGCAGATAGGTGTGGGAGTATTTGAGAAGGAATCTGTCTTCTGGCAGGTCCATCCTTTGCATTGTTTTCTCCTTCATTTGGTTCTGATTTTCTGGTTAAAATAACTTGCAGAACAGCAGGTCCCCCTGTGATGTCTATGTATATACATATCTATGTATAATATGTATGTAGTGTGTATGTGTTCTTATTTATGCATATACATACATGAAAATAATGTATGTTACATATGTGGATGGTGAAGTTATCAGTTTCCATTAAGGTTCAGAGGTTCCAATCAATGGTGCCATGTCATTCTTATGCAACCTGAGTGGTTCAGGTTTCCCTCTAGTGTTTTAGGATGGGGAAAATTCATCCCCTATAACCAAAGATGCATCAAATCCTTAGCTAATGTCTATTTCAGTTGCTGTTGAGATACTGATTCATTGGGCACTAATATGCCATGCCCCCCTTCTTTGACAGAGAGGCCAAAGGAACCGTGCTTTGCATGTAAAGAATGGTTAAAGTAAAAAGAAAAACAGGTGTGTGTGGGGGGCTATAAACTGGCATCTGAGGACATCAGAACAACCAGCCTCTCTTCCCTTTCTGTTTTATATCTTGCAGGGAAAGGACAGGTAGGGTGAGATTAGGGGGGAGGCACGCACATCTGCTCTACTCAGGTAAACTGCATTTCTTCTTTCCTTCACCAGCTGAACTAAAATTACAGCCTTATGATATTCTCTAGGGCAGAATTTTCTGACCAGTTCCCTGCCCTACAAACTTCAAAGTGAACCTCTACATAACTTGCGGGGCCTGAGTTCTAAATAAAACTTGTTAGATTTTAACATGCACCTCAATCATCAGTAATGCCTTGAGGGAAATCAAGCCTTGATGTCTATACAGCCTCCATGGAGTCATAACTACTTATGAATCTTGCCCCAGTGCTCCGGGTGGGGCCGTAGGTCCTGAATTCCTAATGAACTCCCGGGTGAAACCAGAGGACTACGGTTTGAGTGGCAAGATTCTGTTGACTGTTCTTTCTATCAGAAATAACAGAAGCTGGATCAAGCGTAGCCCCTCGATCAAAAGCCACATGTTAAATGGAAAGAAAC